AAAAGTTATTGTTATGGTGAATGCCAAAGAGAGACAGAGGTTAGGTTTCAGGTGGGTCTAATAGTGATCGTGCGATGGCATTGAGTGATGCGAACTGTTTGGTCATGGAATAGTGTGAGGTCAGGGAGCTGGAGGGGAGTGTTTTGACGATGGTGAGTGGCTTGACGACTAATTATGGTTAGAGAGAAGGAGAGATGGTTGGGAGAAGGGGATAGTTATATAAATGTCAAATAAAAGGCGACACAGTGGGAAGGTTGGTGAACATGATAGGAATGGAGATGTTAAACTGTATTTACCTTCGACAAATTCAATTGCCCAAATACGAAGAATACCGAGATACAGGGAAAATCAAGAGAAAGAGCTAGTTGTTTTCACTAATTTGAATGTCTATGCGATAGAGGATTGATTTGTAACAATTGCCTCCTTAATTTAAGCTGACTATCTTGACTTTTTCAATGGTCAACCACGGATAAGATACTTCAATGCATAAGCTTGTTGTAAATGATCCTTTAACGGTTGTATTTCTTTGGGCTTTAATTAGGGTTTATTTACCCCGGCGGGAAATCAAAATCTATTACTAAAATGAAACTCAAATTTCATAGCATCCGCGCCAAAAGATGAATTCGCAGTTTTGCATTGCAAACAACGACACAACAAAAGACGTCTCATTTGTGTTGCTTCTCTTCTGTGAAGCCACCGGCCGGAGCGCCGCACCCCACATTTAACAGAGACCCTCGAATTTCGACCCCATAGCTACAGGTTCGTTTCTTCTTGCATTCGTTCTATTTATTTATTTATTTATTTATTTTCTCTGTTGTCTCTATTTCTTCTTATCGCTGGATTCGTGTTTCTTCACTTTCCCATCTGGAACCTGTTCTTATCTACAAGATAAGAGATATTAGATATCTTTATTATTGCTAATTTTCTCTCTTCTTATCTCTTCTTATCGCTGAATCTGATTTGGTTCTCTAGTTTAATCAGTGTTAAAATCTGTGAATCTGATTTTGGTTTAATTATGTTCAAATTTGTGATAAGCTGCCATGCTATGTTCAGTTATGATGATGCTTATATGATACGTTGAATGTAATTTAGGAAGTCATTCTTCAGCTCAAGTTGTTACTTGAAGCAACAACAATCAATGGAATCGAAAATAAATTCTTTCTTCAGACCTTCTTCCACATCACAAGCCCAAGCCCTAAATCCACCTCTTTCGCTTTCGGATACATTGTCCGATGATGAAGACTTCATCAGAGAACCCGAAATTCCCATTATATACACTCGACGAGCTCCAAACACAAATAGGTATATTCCTTGAGTAGCATTTTGTTCCATTTTTATCATACAAGAAGTTATTTGACTAAAGTTGACTTTTGGTTTTTGATACGCAGAGCTAATGATGATATTTTCAAAGAAAATGATCCAAACAAACTTAATTTTGGACAACAGTTAGTTTTCCACAAATTCCAAGCAAACATAATTTTGGACAACAGTTTCATTTGGATCTAGGCCAATCTGATTTTCTATTACACACTTGTAAAACTTGTGGATTCAAGTTTTCTCCTGGAGATGAAGAAGATATAAAGGTTCACAAAGAATTTCACAAAAGCTACACACATGGTATTCAATTCAAGGTAGATTCTTTATCCTTATATCTTTAATGTTTACTATTTCATTAATGTTAGTTTCCAAAATTTTCTTCTACTCATTCATTCTTCATTGATTTTACACTTAAGGGCTGTAACGCCCGTAGATCAGTGCTAGTCAATTTAGAGATAATAGGGGTCGAAAACAACTTTTTGACAAATTATTATTTAGAATAAATAATCTTAACCAAGTTGTAGAATATGTCTCAAGGGTTCCGTACATATAAAGAACACTGAAATCCGAGTTATCAAGAAGAAGTTATGGTCCGTCGAAGTATTTCGGCAAAACCGGCACGACACCGGGAGACGTAAATAGTGAATTTAAGATAGAGGACTTTTTAGCCTTAGTGATATAAACAAAATTATTAGTATACATTAAACCAAGAACATACAAAAAAAAGAACGCCAAATCTGACTTCGTATGAGGAAGTTATGATTTTTCTAAAATTTGGCATTGCAGTGCACGACCCGAAACTCGAATTTTAGTTCGAGCGGTTTTTGGCTTACGCAACCTTAATGAGAGTTGAAAATCTCATTAATAGAAACTCAAAGGTAAAAAGATAGACGACAACGGAGTCCGTATGAAGGAGTTACAAATTCTTCGCAGTCATTTAGCAGTGTAATCCTATCCTACTGTTAAATTTAAGATCCGTGGGAAATTAGCCGACGGAGTCTAAATTAAAGTTGTAGATCTTGTTTTTACCTACGCGTGGATATAAATAGCGTCAAAAACGGATATCGTATGAGAAAGCTATGAATTTTTGAAAATCGGCTGATTTCCACCCTGTGTGCGATGCCACGTGTCAGCACCAGGCTGCGCCTGGCTATAGCCAGCTTGACTCACGATGTGAACCTTCCTCCAGCCCCTATAAATAAGTAGTGAGGTCTCCATTCATTTCTCACACCTCCCCTCACTTCCCGCTCTCTCTAGAACTTCTCTCTAGCCCCGAAACCTTCCAAAAAGCCTAGGGAACCTCCCTAGCACGTGGCGGAAGCCCCAGAGCGCCCGACAGCTCCGAGAAGAAGAGCCTTTTGGCTCGGGAACACTGCTCCAGCGGCACCCGGTTTTGAGAAAAAACCCGCTGTAAGTGAGCTATGTCTACCCTATCTTTAGTATAGCTTATGTTTTAATATAGTAACGTTATTAGGAACTTATAATGAGTATTTGGGCTATTATTATGAGTTATATAAGAGTGTTTCTTAACACTTATATAATATTAATAATATCTAGACTATTAATTAGTCGTGGTTAACGTTAGACTAAACTCTAGTGGTAATGATACTAGGTTTTGTCCGAGGGAAATTGTTTTAACAGTAACGAAGTGCTGTCCGAGTACCGAGTCATCACCTTATCAGGTGAGTACATAGTTACTTTCATCTTAGACATAGATATGAAGTATTTTATATAAATTACCTGCTATGTGTGCATATTATCTGAGTACTTGCTGTCTATGCTAGATGAACGATTTTATACATGTTTTAAATGATTTAAACTGTATATGTATTTTATATCTACGATAATGTTGGGGTAAAACATGGGTAGATGTAATAGATGGAATATAAGTTGGATGATGAGTTGAGAGGTGTTATAGACCACGAGGTGAGGGTGAGAGGTAGATGATGTGAGAAGCCTTTCCCAAATGATGGCCCCGTCATTCAGCAGAGTATAGATGACAACCACGGACTATTCTAGACAGTCCAGTGGAACATGAGCAGACTCGCAACCTGTAGGTGTTGTGAACGATGTGTTCACCCGGTGTACTCTAAACCCTGGCATCCATGCAGACTTGGTGCCTAAACCTTGGTGATCATGCAGACTTGATGCCTAAACCTTGGTGATCATGCAGAATTGATACCTAAACCTTGGTGATCATGCAGACTTGATGCCTAAACCCTTGCGACTATGCAGACTTAGTGCCTAAGCTCTGGCGACTATGCAGATTTAGTGCCCGTTGTGTAAACCGTGGCAACGATGGACTTCGTGCCGAGTCCTTAGGATGATCCTTAGGAATGAATGAATGAGGAATAGCTGATTCTTAGGATAGATCCTTAAGACTAAGATGATAATGGGGATCGGTAATTGGTTTGATTGTTTGATTGTTTAAACATAATAATTATATTATTGTGGGTTGAAAACCCTATGTACTTACCAGGTTTCCCAACCTGACCCACTTAGTTTATTTATATCACAAGTGTCGATATGAAGTGACATTACACTGACAGATTAAGGAGATATAGATCACTAGTGTAAATGAATGTAAGTTCTGTTTATGCTTATGTTTCTGTACTGACGATGACATCCCAAATGTTTTAAAATGAATAAAAATACGTTTCTTTGGAAATGCTTTGATAACGCATATATCGTGTTTTTCTGGGAATAAATTCCGCAACATTTTTATTAAAAGAGGTACTCTGATTTTCATAAAGCATAAACAAAAAAATCGGTCTTTTCTGGCCGTGAAAATGGGGATGTCACAGTTGGTATCAGAGCATTAGTTTAAGCGAACCGGGAATTTGTAGGATTTCTAGACTTAAACTTAGAGTGCTAAGCGATGATTGTGAGATGTGAGCACTATCTTATGTAGGAAGTATGCCTAATATGCTTTTATATGCTAAATGATTTATGATGCTAAATGTATGATCGGATCTATGGCATGTTGCCGACCGGATCTTGAAATTTTATGTGTTCAGATTTCTAAACGTTTGATTATGGTATTAGAACTGGCATATAAGTTTTCGGCGTGACAAGGAGATCTATATGTCTATCTTAAATAAATTTTTTCCTATCTTAAAAATTCTCGCCTCTGTACACCGAACGTCTGCTTGGGCGTACAAAACATCATGGTGAAGACAAACTAGGAAATATCCGAGAAAGATGACAACCTGAGCCTAAGAATGTGATGGGTCATGCATCGGTCGTTGCGCCTACACCCAAACCTAACATAATGGCAGAAGTTCAGGAAGTGATGCCAACCATGATAGACTGAGAAAATAGAGGAAATGAGATGGCTTACGATAGTGAATGATACCTATCGGAAGATATCATAAGAGAGGTATCTTGCCTTTAGAATACGTCTGATAAAATAGCAGTACGTCTAGAGAAGTACGTTACATCTGAATGTACACATTTGAATGGTGGGATGATAGAACGATTTGTGTATTTCCTAAATTTTTCCTATCATCTGGAATTTCCATCACCAACCAAGTTGAAGCAGAATTGATGATTGAAGATACGCATGGAAGAAGTCCTAGTAGAGTCTAGGAAAATTTTTATGATTATTTGGACACACTCGTATGTGTTAAATTGTTTTGTGATTTTAGGACTTAGGGACTGCGAGACAATACTTGGGACAAGTATGAGTAGGTGTGAAAGGTAGTAGATGCATATACTACCGGAAGCACATGACTCACGCTTGGATCAGGGAAAGTCACAAGCTTACCGAGAAGCTAATAATTGATACCGTTTTATTCAAATATGTCGTTACCATTGTTTCGGTAAAGACTAAGAAGATGATTGTTATTCCGACCCTAGTGGCCATATCGAATTGAGTCTGACTACAAAAAGTATGTTACATGGATGTAGCACCCGACTTAAGCCGTAAGGATTAATCAAAGCGATCAGTAGAAGTATCGCGATGGTTGCTAGAAATGCTACCTTTTAAGACATGATTAGAACCTGAAGGAAGGTATAGTTTGTCCTGGAATTTGACTCTAAAAGACCTGAGTCCAAGCAATGCATCACACGATGAGAGGTCATTAGAACATGACCCATCTGTATATTATGAAAATCGAAGGAATAAACTTATATCAAGTTTGTTAAAGAATGAGTCTCCAATAAAGATCTAGATTGTGACATGAAGATCATGACTGAAAGTCTAACATGAGATAGAGAGCGGGTCCAAGATCGGGAACCGCCTACAGTCAGGAAGTCTTAACGTTAGATACTCGTTCGAAGAAACATCAAATTTACGGTTATTACTTTGGTTTAAGAGATAACGTATGGAGTCATCATGTGAGCCCTGTTTCGTTGATGATTTCGGGACGTAATCATTCTAAGGGGAGATAATTGTAATGCCCGTAGATCACGGCTAGTCAATTTAGAGATAATAGGGGTCGAAAACAAGTTTTTGACAAATTATTATTTAGAATAAATAATCTTAACCAAGTTGTAGAATATGTCTCAAGGGTTCCGTACATATAAAGAACGCCGAAATCCGAGTTATAACGAAGAAGTTATGGCTCGTCGAAGTATTTCGGCAAAACCGGCACGACACCAGGAGACGTAAATAGTGAATTTAAGAAAGATGACTTTTTAGCCTTAGTGATCTAAACAAAATTTGTAGTATACATTAAACTGAGAACATACAAAAAAAAAAGAACGCCCAAATTTGACTTCGTATGACGAAGTTATGATTTTTCTAAGATTTGGCATAGTAGTGCACGACCCGAAACTCGAATTTTAGTTCGAGCGGTTTTTGTCTTACACAACCTTAATGAGAGTTGAAAATCTCATTAATAGGAACTCAACGGTAAAATGATAGACGAAAACGGATTCCGTATGAAGGAGTTACGAATTCTTCGCGGTCATTTAGCAATGTAATCTTCTCCTACTGTTAAATTTAAGATTGGTGGGGAATTAGCCGACAGAGTCTAAATGAAAGTTGTAGATCTTGTTTTTACCTACGCTTGGATATAAATAACGTCGAAAATGGATATCGTATGCGAAAGTTATGAATTTTTGAAAATCGACTGATTTCCACCTTGTGTGCGAAGCCACGTGTCAACACCAGGCTGCGCCTGGCTGTAGCCAGCCTGGCTCACGACGTGAATATTAAAAATTCACGACGTGAACCTTCCTCCAGC